AGAAGTCTGAGTACAAAACTCTTATCCATTTTACCTGTTCGGAATGGCATGGTGTTATGAAACTAGTAAATTGTACTATACTGGAGCTTATTTTGAAGTTTACAAATATATGTGTGTTTTTACCATTTTTGGTGCTAGTTCTAGAGAAATTCTTGCTCGTGTGATTATGCCAAACTGGCCAAGTCCTCCAAGGACACCATGAAAGAGGTTTGCATTCTACTTCTCTGAACAATTCACTACCTCCCCTTTTTCTACACAATTTCAGTAAATTTTGAATGCAAATACAAATTCTAAGAATGTGATGAACTGCTGTTCAGTGACCAATGGTTATGTATCTTTTATGTAAACAAGGTTTGATTCTCGGACAATATGATGAGGAAAACTGGAAACTTCCTAGTCCAGTTTTTAATGAATGGAAAACAGGTGGAACAAAGTTAAAGTTGAAGTTGTTGTATGGTTTTTCCATCTTAATCTTACATGTGTCATATGTTGATCTAGTTCTCAAATTGCGTAATGAGCCTGTTTGGTGCAGTATTTTTTATGGTTAATTATTCCAAGATCCCCTAAACTATTAGTGAATATCATCTTAATCCTTATCATCTATGAACTCTTACATATTGACCTCTTAACTATAAAAATCGTTCAATTGCCCCCTTCTAAAAGGTGGTCTAGGGGGTGAAAGTGATACATTTTATAGTTGAAGGGATCAAAATGTACATGTTCATAGATGAGGGGTAAGTTGATTTCTGCAAATAGTTAAGGGGATCTTTGTGTAATTATCCCTATTTTTTTATATTGAAAGTTGATAATCAATAAGCAGAAGTTAAAAACATCATTTCCTTAACTTTTTGATAGATTACACCAGGCACTGTGGCACAGATTCCCAAAATTAAAAGAGTTAATAAATTGCACCAAGCAGGCCCATGCAATCTATGAACATGTGATGCTGTCCTGTTACAAATTTATTTATTTATTTTGTTTTTGGGTACAAACCTATAACTGCTTCCAACTGGTGGACATTACTAATCTGAAGACCATGACGAAATGCCTGCCCACTAATCCCTGCATTTGACAAAGTACTGCCAACTGTGAGATGTAGGTAATCTATCCAAGACTTCGGTGCTAACCCATGTTTCAGGCTTTCATGCAGGATATTAATCCACAATTTGCCACCATAGACATCTACATAAGGATGTTTTCCAATGTAAACCTGCATTTTCATTCCACTGAATGATTCCATGTTGATCACGACTCCTCTGTGAGCTTGTGCCTAGCCTTGCATTTCCATTCCACTGTGAGTTTTCTTAATTTGTTTAATTATTTTCCCATAACTCATTGAATTCAGCGAAAATTCCTCACCTTCTTTGTGGTGTATTTTGATTTCTTTTTCCTGATCATATTTTGTGGTTTTTGAACCAAAGAGAAAAGAGAGAGAGGTGGGGAATTCCTACTAAGTTTTTCACCTTTTTCTACTCGAAATCTGCTAAAATTGTTTGATGTAGTTATTAAAATTTTTGTAAGCAAGATGCTTGTTTAGTGGTTGAGTTCTTATTTATTCTTCTACCTAGTTTAAAACGTTAAATAAAATATTTTTCATATTAACTATTTGCTTATGAGCTTCAGGTTGAACAATTGAAGCGAGAGGTTGCTGAGCTTCGACATGCCCTTACTGATAAGCAAGAACAAGAAAATGCCATGCTTCAGGTTTTGCATTGCTTTATGTTTGACAATTAAATATGTAAAAAAATTGGTTCTTGTTCTCTCTTATGTGATAAAGATTTCTAACAATATATTGATTATGGCTTATCTGATAGGTTTTGATGAGGGTAGAGCAAGAACAAAGGGTAACAGAAGATGCTCACCGATTTGTTGGGCAAGATGTAGCAGCTTAGAGATATGATGCTCAAGTGCTTCAGGTTTTACTTTTTGATTTAAACTTATTTTTTTAGTACTGCTTTACTATAATGTTGAATGCTTGTGTTAATAAGAAACAACCTCCTGTCTGTCATACTTTCTGTCTTATGCATAGCTGTGGTCACCTTTTTTTGGAGTGTGCTTGATGCCTGTAGTGCATGAGCTATACTGGTTTTTAAAGTATGGTATTTAGAGGAAACTTCACGCGGATGAATAAACAGATTTGGCGGTCTAGTTGTTGCATTACCGTTTAACTAGTGTAGCTCTTGCAAACTCTCACTCTTTCTTTGATTTTTAATTTTGATTTTTTTGAGCACCCATTGCATATGATTAAGTGTGATATATTGCTTCTTTAATAAAAATTTGTTTATTTTGCAGAAATTTGTTTAGATGGTGAGCAATGGAATGACGGGTTGTTAGCTACAATAAGAGAGTGGGTATTTTTCTATTGAAGGCTTTTGATGTGACTGGATTTTCCTATTTGTTGTTTTTCTCCTTTGAGCATAGATTAGATGATTGAAATGGTTGATGACCGATAACCTACATATTCCTTAAATTGGTTAAATTACATCTTATTAAATCAAAAAATTTTCCTCCTCATCTTCCTCGTATGCTGCTTCTTGGTTAAAAGCACTCTTATCTGTTCCATGTTTACATTTTCTTGCTTCATTAAAATTATTGTGGTTGCTCTGGGGTTTATATTAGGTTCACATGGAGGTTGAAAGAAAAGCAATGCAAGGGGATGCAAACATTCTGCCAGGTCTTCATTTTCAAGAAAAAATTACATATAAAGTTGGAACTAAGGTATCTATTACACTAGCAGATTTGGCTAAAAGATTTCCTTATTCATCAACATTTGTATCACATCTTCCAGAGGATCTATTTATATTTGTTCAGCAAAATACTGAGGTTGATAAATATGAGAAGTAAACAATTGCTACTTGCAGCTTGAATAAAACTTTACATGTGACATTGACCCCTTTGTGCATCATGAGGATTATTTGAGGTGAGGGTAATAGGAGATCTTTCCGTGGAAGCAAGAAGTGTATGTATAGCCTGAGGAGTGCCATAACCTGGATCAAATTTTGGATTTTGTTGATATAACCCATGCAAATTAGAGATATCATACAAATCACAAGGTAAACAAAGCAAGTAAGCAAGCACAAGAATCCAGTTAGTCTTTTTCTTTTAAAAAAATAAATAACCAAAATTATAGGATGCAAAATACAAGAAACTAGATTGTCATGGGTCTTATCTTCACATTGGCATCTGAGCATTGAACATTGTTTTTTTGTGTATGTGGAAGATAGATCATATTAATAGAAATCACTTAGTATACCTACTATGGTCTAGTCCTATTTCATATTAATAGAAATCACTTAGCATATACTTATTGCACATTGGTCTGTTGATGTCCTTCTGGACATTGTAGTTATTTAAGTTGATGTCAATTGGGTCCTTCTGGACATTTTGGTTATTTAAGTTGATGTCAATACCTCCAAATGGACAATAGAGTGTTGGATTATTGAATGCATATACTTATTGCACATTGTTTTGTTGTCATGGGGAACATTAGATCACAACATATGTTAAATGTTAACTGTTGACTTGTAGACTCTGACTGAAGAAAACCTAACTTGATTTTTGTTTAATTCTTCAGAAAACATAGTTCAAGGTCAACAATAAAGTGTTTGATGGGACTCTTTCCTTTTGTTTTTCTTCTCATTCTTCCCTTTCTTGTCCCATGGTCTCTCTCATATCATTCCTCTCCCTCCTCTCATATGACACCTACACAGCTCCTCTTGCCGTGAGGGATTAATTTATTTACAGTGATTTTTTTTCTCAGTACTAATTTAAGTAGTCAATTGTTAATTGCTTTTGTTCCTAACATAAAGTTTGGCTATAGTGATTGATCAATACACATCATTGGTTTAATGATTTCATTAAAAACATCTTAATTGTTCTCAGCTTAGCTGTCTTAAAAAATGGCAATGTCTCTCCTCAGTCTCGTACTCAACTATATAGCATTTTTCCCTAAATTTTCTACCCCATTTTCATTTTCATTGTTTTTCTTTTCGTGGAGTTTTCACAGTTCAGAACTTAAAAGGTGATTCGTTGCCTTTAGAACTTGTGTTTAGAACTTTCTGTTTTTAGGTTGTTAGAGGGAGATGAGTTTAAAATTTTACTTCCCTGCAAGGGAGAGAAAGATGAGAGGGTGAAATGTGCTTGTCCACTAGGTGTTAGGGTTGGGTTTGGCCATGCATGGTGGTGTCCTGGTGGACTGTGTCTTGCTAAGTCACCCAACCTTGGTGTTTGAGGAAATGGATACTGGGTTTTGTTTTAGAGGTGGTTGATAGCCATTCTGGCCCATGAGGCTATTGGTTGGTGGTTGCATGTGAAATATAGGAGGAAGTGAGAAGGGGAATGGCGAGTGGGTCTGCTGCTATAGAAAGGAGGAGAAGGGAGAGGGAATGAAGAAGAAAAGAATAGAAAAAGGCAAATTGAAAAGGTGTCTGATCTTTAATCTACTCTTCTTTTTGAGCTTTTTGTCATGATTTTCTTATCTTAATTTAATAAGAAACGAAATATTATGCAAAATGCTCACTTCACTATGTTCTAGAATGCGAGGAATGATATAAATGTATCTAGAACCTGTTCCTTAAAATTTATAAGGAGTGGTGTAAGAGAGTTGAGTATCTGATTGCGCAGAACTGAACTGTAATTGTGTATAATTACTATGGAACTAAACAGAATTCTCGCTTTGAGTTTGGAGGGATTCAGTGGTAAATCCAGACTAAAGTGTAGACTTTCTCTGGGGACGTCATTGTTAGTTCAGAGAATTAGCCAGAAATTTCTGCTGAGAGGATTAGACTGCAATATGATGCCCATAATTTAGAGGGTTGTCATCCTTCTTGTGTATCATTTTTCATTTATATGATTTTCTGCTTTCTTATAATGAAGGAGGTTAAAAAGAGATTACCATCTTATATATTTGCATCAATATACTGAAACCGAAAGATGTCTATTTGATTTTAGGCATAAGCTATAAGCACTTTCCCACAGCTCTACCAAACAGGGCTTTTGTGGTGTATTTTGATTTCTTTTTCCTGATCATATTTTGTGGTTTTTGAATCGAAGAGGAAAGAGAGAGAGGTGGGGAATTCCTACTAAGTTTTTCACCTTTTTCTACTCGAAATCTACTGAAATTGTTTGATGTAGTTATTAAAATTTTTGTAAGCAAGATGCTTGTTTAGTGGTTGAGTTCTTATTTATTCTTCTACCTAGTTTAAAATGTTAAATAAAATATTTTTCATATTAACTATTTGCTTATGAGTTTCAGGTTGAACAATTGGAGCGAGAGGTTGCTGAGCTTCGACATGCCCTTGTTGATAAGCAAGAACAAAAAAATGTCATGCTTCAGGTTTTGCATTGCTTTATGTTTGACAATTAAATATGTAAAAAATTGGTTCTTGTTTTCTCTTATGTGATAAAGATTTCTAACAATATATTGATTATGACTTATCTGATAGGTTTTGATGAGGGTAGAGCAAGAACAAAGGGTAACAGAAGATGCTCACAAATTTGCTGAGCAAGATGCAGCAGCTCAGAGATATGCTGCTCAAGTGCTTCAGGTTTTACTTTTTGATTTAAACTTATTTTTTTAGTACTGCTTTACTATAATGTTGGGTGGTTATTAGACTTTATACAACCCATGCAAATTAGAGATATCATGCAAATCACAAGGTAAACAAAGCAAGTAAGCAAGCACAAGAATCTAGTTAGTCTTTTTCTTTTAAAAAAATAAATAACTAAAATTATAGGATGCAAAATACAAGAAACTAGATTGTCATGGATCTTATCTTCCCATTGGCATCTGAGCATTGAACATTGTTTTTTTGTGTATGTGGAAGATAGATCATATTAATAGAAATCACTTAGTATACCTACTATGGTCTAGTCCTATTTCATATTAATAGAAATCACTTAGCATATACTTATGGCACATTGGTCTGTTGATGTCCTTCTGGACATTGTAGTTATTTAAGTTGATGTCAATTGGGTCCTTCTGGACATTTTGGTTATTTAAGTTGATGTCAATACCTCCAAATGGACAATAGTGTTGGATTATTAAATGCATATACTTATTGCACATTGTTTTGTTGTCATGGGGAACATTAGATCACAACATATGTTAAATGTTAACTGTTGACTTGTAGACTCTGACTGAAGAAAACCTAACTTGATTTTTGTTTAATTCGTCAGAAAACATAGTTCAAGGTCAACAATAAAGTGTTAGATGGGACTCTTTCCTTTTGTTTTTCTTCCCATTCTTCCCTTTCTTGTCCCATGGTCTGTCTCATATCATTCCTCTCCCACCTACACAGCTCCTCTTGCCGTGAGGGATTAATTTATTTACAGTGATTTTTTTTCTCAGTACTAATTTAAGTAGTCAATTGTTAATTGTTAGTAATTGCTTTTGTTCCTAACATAAAGTTTGGCTATAGTGATTGATCAATACACATCATTGGTTTAATGATTTCATTAAAAACATCTTAATTGTTCTCAGCTTAGCTGTCTTAAAAAATGGCAACGTCTCTCCTCAGTCTCGTACTCAACTATATAGCATTTTTCCCTAAATTTTCTACCCCATTTTCATTTTCATTGTTTTTCTTTTCGTGGAGTTTTCACAGTTCAGAACTTAAAAGGTGATTCGTTGCCTTTAGAACTTGTGTTTAGAACTTTCTGTTTTTAGGTTGTTAGAGGGAGATGAGTTTAAAATTTTACTTCCCTGCAAGGGAGAGAAAGATGAGAGGGTGAAATGTGCTTGTCCACTAGGTGTTAGGGTTGGGTTTGGCCATGCATGGTGGTGTCCTGGTGGACTGTGTCTTGCTAAGTCACCCAACCTAGGTGTTTGAGGAAATGGATACTGGGTTTTGTTTTAGAGGTGGTTGGTAACCATTGTGGCCCATGAGGCTATTGGTTGGTGGTGGCATGTGAAATATAGGAGGAAGTGAGAAGGGGAATGGCGAGTGGGTCTGCTGCTATAGAAAGGAAAAGGGATAGGGAATGAAGAAGAAAAGAATAGAAAAAGGCAAATTGAAAAAGGGGCAAAAGTATCATTATATATATTTCTTAACACACGCTCAATTTAGTGTGTTAACGCATGGTTAACTTAACCAGAATTTGCAACGTTTGCACTTTACTCCAAATTTCAAGAGGGTTATGTGTATATTTTTAAACATGAAGGAGGTAAAGTATTTTTGGACAAAACCATATAAAATATAATTAACCCAAACTGTTTTTAGGTCTAATTGTGTTTTTATTTCAATATCGTGTGTATTTGTTTTTGTTTTTATGTTTGCTTGCATGTGTGTTTTGACCTTTTACCTCGTTGGAGTTAAAAATAAAATAGGAACATATTTAGATTTAAATGAAAATGGTAACTTCTATAAAAACTATGGATTGATTAGCTTGTGAACACGTCATGTGATTCTCTTTGGTTCTTGTTGGCATTAGTGCTAGTGATACATGGTATTCTTGCAATCTTTTGTCATCTTCTGTTATCTGTGTTGCTTATCATTAAGGATCACTTCAACTCTTTGAAGTTTTGGATTGTTATATGCATTTCTATTAAATTGGTTTATAAAATAAAATTATTTAAATATGATTTTAGATGTAATTAATAATATATTAATGTCTTTCTTATTTATTTTCTTTGCAGATTGGTTTTTGATGACATTTGGAAGCATATTTGTAAATCAAGATCAAGTGTTTAATTATTTATTTATTTCCTGAACTGATACTTAGTTGTAGTTGCAAATCAAGATTGAGTGTTGATTTTTTTTGTAGACTCCACATTAGTTCATTTTGGGATTTGCTTTGATGATTTTTTTGTTATACATAATGGATTATTATTAAAGTTGTTTGATGGATACATTTTGATTTATAATATAATGGTTTAGTGAATTTTTGTGTGGAGTGGTGTATAATAGCTAGTGGATTTCTTAGTACAATTAAAAGGTTATTGGGATATGAGCAGGGATATTTATGAAATAATAATTTAAATTGAATATAAAATATGGAACAAGTTTAATGATGAATTTTTTCGTCATTTGTACTTGTTATTATGACAAGGTGATTATTCGTCACTAATAAACTTTTTTTGTGACAAAATTTACTACAGTTTATAGATGAAAGTTTTTATTTATTTTGTTGTTTGGTGGCTAAAAATTTCGTCATGTATATATATATATATATTTGTGACGAAATATATTTCATCATCCATGTATGACTTTTGAAGACGAAAAATTTCGTCACCTTTATATCTTATTATGACGAAATTATTTCCTCATCAATGATCAACATGCATGATAAATTTATTTGTCAACTAAAGTTATAAATATGGTACTGAACAACTATTTGGTGACGAAAATGAGAATTTTTTGCGACAAAAGATTTTTTTATTGGTGACAAAAAATTATGACTTTGAAGACGAAAAATTTCGTCACCTTTACATCTTATTGTGACGAAATTATTTCCTCATCAATGATCAACATGCGTGACAAATTTATTCGTCAACTAAAGTTATAAATATGGTACTGAATAACTATTTGGTGACGAAAATGAGAATTTTTGGCGACAAAATGTTGTTTTATTGGTGACAAAAAATTTCGTCACTGAAGTAATTTCATTGGTGACGAAATTATTTTTCGTCACGGTGGTTTTTAGTGACAAACATTTAATGACGAAACCGGTGACGAAAATATTTCCTCACAAATATCTATAGTGATGAAATTAGCTCTTTGGAGACAAAAAAAATTTCGTCATTCAAGACCCAACTTGTTGTAGTTTATGTTTCCCATCCCCTTGTCTCAGAATTCAGTGAAGCTAAGGTATTGGCTGCAATTAAGGATTGTAATAATAACAAAGCTCCAGGCCCCGATGGGTTTAATCTGCTGTGCTATCAGAAATTTTGGAAGTTTATGAAGCCTGAGATCATGCAATTTTTTGCAAACTTCCACACAAACAGCAAACTGACCTATGGCATTAATAGTACTTTTATTAGTCTAATTCCCAAGTTGGAAAATCCCTCCGGCCTATCTGATTACAGACCTATTAGCCTTGTAAGCTTCCTCTACAAAATTTTGGTGAAACTATTAGCCAGCTCTATCATCAATTATTGGTGAAACTCAAACTGCTTTCATAGGTGGGAGGAACATCCTTGATGGGTTGCTCATCGCCAATGAAGTGGTGGATGGATGGAAGAAGACCAGCAAGAAAGGTCTGATATTAAAGCTAGATTTTGAAAAAGCTTTTGATTCTGTAAATTGGGAATTCCTATTCTCTCTGCTGTCCAGCTTTGGGCTTGGGAACAAATGGATTTCTTGGATGAAAACTTGTGTGTCTACAGTCTGAATATCCATTCTTGTGAATGGTGCACCAACTAAGGAATTCTCACCACAAAGAGGTCTTAGGTAGGGTGATCCGCTCTCACCTTTCCTATTCAATATAGTGTCTGAAGGGCTAAACATTCTTTTAGTCAGAACAATTAATCTTGGCATTCTTAGAGGTGTACTTGTTGGGTCTAAAGATGTTCTTTTGTCTCATCTACAATTTGCAGATGACTCAATTCTCTTTTCTGAAGCAGATTGGGATCAGATGGTGCTTGTCAAAAGAATTATTAGATGCTTTGAAGTACTATATGGTCTTAGAATTAATTATCACAAAAGTGTGGTGTGTGGTGTTAGTGTGACTGATGCTCTAATGCTCTCTTTTGCAAAACTACTTAACTGTCAAGTTCACAGCCTTCCTCTGAAATTTCTGAGACTACCTCTAGGTGTCAACCCTGGTAAAAAATCTACTTGGAAGCCTATGCTTGACAAGATCAGATCCAAACTTTCATGGTGGAAGAGAAAATTGTTGTCTTTTGCAGGTAGACTAACTCTAATCAAGTCTTCCTTATCTAGTTTACCAGTATACTTCCTTTCTTTATTTAAGATGCCAGAAGGTGTGGTGAGAGAATTTGAGAAGATTGAAGTAGCTTTTTTATGGGGCGGAAATGACCTTAAAAGGAAAGTTCACTTAGTAAAATAGAGGGAGGTAACAAAGAGCATTGACCAAGAGGGTTTGGGCATGAGAAGAATCAAAGATGTAAATGCTTGTCTACTGCTCAAATGGTGGTGGAAATTTGGAACTCAAATCAATTCACTTTGTAGGAGAGTTGTATGCAGCAAATACAAAATTGATGAGGTTAGTTGGCATCCACCTTTGAAGTTCTCTTACAAACATTCTAGAGTTTGGAAGGACATCTTATCTATTGGGAATCATAGCACAAATATTTACAATTCCTATATAGATAACTGCCAAATTAAAGTGGGAGATGGAAACAGAATTAAATTTTGGCATCACAAATGGTATGGCAACTCTAGTCTTAAGACTACCTTTCCCCTCCTCTTTAATCTTTCAACTGATAAAGAAGGCTCTCTTCACCAATTCATTGCAAGGAAAACCAGCCCAAACAATTGGAATTTTCCTCTTAGAAGAGTGCTTTTTACTTGGGAATTGGATGAAGAAGCTAGCTTACTTGGACTCCTATCCTCAGCTCCTTCTCTGACACTTGGCATGGCTGATTGTTTTGTCTGGGCTAGTGTGTCTGCAAGTCCAGGTGTGTTCTCTGTATCTTCTCTCTACTCTTTTAGTAACTCTATTCTTAGCCCTCATTTTAGAATCTATAAGCATATTTGGAATAGGGCTGTCCCCCCTAAGGTTTCATTTTTCAGTTGATTGGCCTAGAAAAACAAAATCAAGTGCGCAGAATTTATGCACAGAATTGGAATTTTAGATGCTACTGTCTCCATCATTTGCCCATTTTGTTGCTCTGAACCTGAATCTGATGTCCATATCTTGCTCCTTTGCCCATTTTCTTGGTTGATTTGGTCTTCTATAATTAATGATTGGGGGCTTTCTTGGTGCATACCAGGTTCAGTGGATGATCTCCCCTAATGGTGGATAGCTGTCAATTTCAAGAACATTGATAGGTTAATTTGGAGAGCTATCCCCTTTATTGTTCTTTGGTTACTTTGGAAACTCAAGAACAAATGTGTTTTTGGAGAGGCTCAACCCAACTTCTCTGGTTTGAGTGAAACTATCAAAATCAGAGTAGCTCTTTGGCTGAAAGCATCTATTAGAGACCTTCCCTACTCAGTTGATGATTTAACTTTCAATTGGAGACAAATCAGAGGTTGTTCTTGACTTCACAACTGGGCTTTACAATTTTGTTGTTGCTACTGATTTTTCTCTAGGCGGGTTTGTGCTGCTTTAATGTGCTACTAATGTGTTCTAAGCTCTGTATTGCTAATGTGTTCTGTGTTATGTGTTGCTACTGATCTCTGGGCTAGTTTGTGTTTATGTTCTGAGCTCTGTATTGTGCTGCGCTCTGTAAATGTGTTCTTAGGTCTATGAATGTGTTCTGTGCTGCTACTGTGTTCTGCTAATGTGTTCATTGTGTTTCGTGCCACTAATTGGTTCAGCTGGTTGCTGTTTGGTAGTGGAATGCTTCCTGGTTTTCCTTTTCTTTGGTTCTATTTGTTGGTCTCTCACCAACTAGAAGGTTGGAGCTTTAACTAGCTCCAAGCTCCTCTTTATTGTTGTGCTTTATCATACTTTGTATGTTTCTCAACAATAAAGCCTTTTCTTTGCCGATCAAAAAAAAAAAAATAGAAGATCTTCACATCACATGCTTCTTTCTTATAACTCAAACCTATTAAACAAATGTATAATTATCACTTAAACGGAGGCTACTTTTCCAATTGCAACTCCTAAGGAAAATGCACTTGTCAACTAGTTGGTATGAGAAATTCCATCGTATAAAAGATTTAAACATCTTTGGATAATCATATGAACAAATCAACACAAAGAAAGTTTATGACAATATGAGGAAGTTTGTGGAAATCTCATATCTTTAATTAGTCTATAATTCCCAACATGATATTTTGAACTATAGATTCATCTATCCAGCAAATAAAAAGAGTCAAATTCCATGTTGATGAATCCAAACTAGTTCGTACATATAGCATAAACAAAACAACAACAACAACAACAACAACAACAACAACAAAAAACACGTATAATAGTATCAATTAGCAGTTGGTCAATAAAACATAATGAAAACATTGTTTGTTAAGGTTTACAATAAATTTGTTTAATAGGCAATTTTGTGTCATTCTACATGCATAAATGTCATCGACCCTCCACTTCTGAAATTGTAACATCATTTACTGAGCAAAGTTTTGGAATTTCAAGTGTATTGGCATATTTCACACTCACAATTGTAGAAAAAGCAGGTTGCTTAGGAGCAGGTATTGCTATTAGTTCATTGCTAAGCATAGACACAACATCTGAAATAGTTGGTCTATCTGCTGCATTTTCTTGAACGCACAAGAAACTAACTTGAATGTAGTGCATAACCTCACTTGTTGAACATGTTTCAACAAATAAGTGATCTATTATCTCCAAGCCCCTTCCTTCTTTCCATAGATCCCATGCCTAAAATGGTTCATAAACAATATTCTACAAGGTCACTTCTCCAGAAAAATAAAAATTAAATATGCTCAAGTAGACCAAATTACAATTACTTACATATCCTAGCAAGTTCTGAGCACGATCTGGTTGATAGAAACCTGTGTTCTTCTTTCCGCTAATAATCTCTAACATCATTATCCCAAAGCTAAAAACATCTGACTTTACAGAAAAGAGACCGTCCAAAGCATACTCGGGGGACATGTAACCACTGTTTTCATCAATCGTGAAATTATATTGTTAGAAAAATTTAATGTCATTTTCATGTCTGTGGAACAATTTTTCATTCGTACATATTTAAAAGAGATACCAAACTTACTATGTTCCAACAATTCTGTTTGTGTTTGCTCGAGATTCATTGTCTCCAAAAATTCTTGCAGTGCCAAAGTCTGATATTTTTGGGTTCATATTATTGTCCAGTAAAATGTTGCTAGTTTTCAAATCTCTGTGAATGATTCTTACTCTAGAGTATTTGTGAAGGTATTGAAGTCCCTGAGCAATTCCCTCAATGATACTGACACGAATTTTCCAGTCTAGCAAAGCTCGTCCTATTTCATCTGTTCCAAAATTTGCACTTGATAAATAGATAGACATCATCACATTGGCAACGAAGAAAGAGACCAAAAGAGCAATAGATTAGCTAAAGGTAACGAAGTAACAAACCAAAAAGAAATGTGTCTAAACTTTTGTTTGGTAAGTATTCGTATACTAATATCCTCTCATCTCCTTGAGCGCAACAACCCAAAATTCTAACAAGATTACGATGTTGAAGTCTCGAGATCAATGTAACCTCATTCTTGAACTCCTCCAATCCTTGTCCAGAGCTTCTAGAAAGTCTTTTCACAGCAATCTCTTGCCCATTAAATAATTTACCCTGAAGTACACATATTTAGTATGAGATATTTAAATTTGAAGAAAATTACACCCATGATCCCTATTATTTAATTGTCTCATTTTGCTCCCTACACTTTTAATTGGCTCAATTTTGACTATTAATTTTAGATTTTGTTTTAATTTGGTCTAGTTAATAATATCCTTAGTGTTTTTTTAAGAAAAATCATCATTAAATTGGTTGGGATTAACTGACTAAGTTGAGTAATTTTATAATTTTATCCTTAAAAATATGACACATGACACTTAAGTGCTTATTTTTCATTAAAAAAATGTTAAGAGTTGTAATCAATTGGATCAAATTAAGAAAAAATCATTTATTCATGGTCATAATCGAACCAATTGAAAGTACATGAACTAAAATGATACAAGAGGTTAAATATAGAGACTACCGTCGTAATTTGTCCTTAAATTTAAATAGAAATAAAATATGAAATACATATTAAAATATTCCTTTCTAACAAAAATAAATAGATTCAAACAACATAAAATGCATTATTCAATGGCAAAAGATTATTGATGATCGTCTTCAAAAACCTTCAATTGTAATGCGGCATGTATGTGCATGAAGGTCAAATTTATTTGAGCTTTAACTATCGTAACATGTGTTGTGAAAGTCTTTTCACAGCAATCTCTTGCCCATTAAAGAATTTACCCTAAAGTACACAAATTTAGTATGAGATATTTAAATTTAGAGAAAATTACATCCATGATCCCTATTATTTAACCCTTGTGTCACTTTGGTCCATGCACATTCAATTGACTCAATTTTGACCATTAATTTTAGATTTTGCTTCAATTTGGTCTAATTAATAATATCCTTAGTGTTTTTTAAGGAAAATTGTCACTAAATTGGTTGAGATTAACTGATTAAGTTGAGTAATTTTATAATTTTACCCTAAAAAATATGACACGTGACACTTATGTACTTATTTTTCATTAAAAAAATGTTAAGAATTATAATCAATTGGATCAAATTAAGAAAAAAATCATAAATTTAGAGTCACAATCGAGCCAATTGAAAAAGTACATGAAGTAAAATGACACATGGGGCTAAGTATAGGGGCTATCGTCGTAATTTGTCCTTAAATTTAAGTAGAAATAAAATATGAAATGCATATTAAAATATTCCATTCTAACAAAAATAAATAGATTCAAACAACATAAAATGCATTATTCAATGGCAAAAGATTATTGATGATCGTCTTCAAAAACCTTCAATGATGTGGCATGTATGTGCATGAAGGTCAAATTTATTTGGGCTTTAACTATCGTAATATGTGTTGTTAAATGTATAGATTTCATGGCTAGAAATGGAAATCATACGCTACCTTATAAACAGGCCCAAAACCACCTTGCCCAATCTTATTTGCATCAGAAAAATAATCTGTAGCAATTTCTATGCTAGAAAGAGAGAACAATGGTAACTCATGATCCTTTTTCCCATTGTTGATTTTTTCCATAATTGTTGCTTCAGTTTTCATTTCAGACATGAATGACTGTGTTCCCAAGCTCGTCCTGTCTTCACTTCTATTATTTCCTGGTTAGTACAAAGGGAAAAATTTTACTTGGAGAGTAACACTGAAATTGTATATCTAGTCTTAAATGGTAAATATATACGTACGTCTAGAATGGCCATTTCTCCACCAGAAATAGGACAATGAGGAGACTAGAATAAAAATCACCAGAGAAATTGCAGCACTAATAGTGAACCACAATCGCTTTTTTCTCGAATTAACTAGGGCAGTATTATTGTGATCGTTCGGGAACAAATTGTTTGGATTGTGAGGGGCCATATATGTCACAGGATACGAAGGTGCAACAAGTGGACTAGCTGTGGTTCAAGGGAGATTAAAAAAAAAAAAATTATTAAAGGGTGATCAATCAGTAAAATGCTCTTCTGATCACTAACAATACATCTCAAATTGAAAAATAAATAAATAAATAAAAAATGCAAGGATTACCTATATTTGCCATGGAGACGTTTCGTATGTAAAAAATATAATCCGGAGAGTCAGAGTATTCACCATAAAAAAATTGGCACCCAGACCCATCAGATAGTGCAGAAGCATAAGCAGTACAAGAACAATCTTGTCTACATATCTCCTTGCAATCACTGATACCCTGGCTGACATTGTTAGTTGTAACCCATGAATTTATTAATCCGCTTTTCTTGACGAACACATCTCCAGCAGTACAGTTGGATGGATTAGGGGATACACACCCCAAATTGTATTCTAGTAATTGGCTATCATCACAGTAATATGTTACACCTAACCACCAATCACCATTATTGTCTACTGTTTTAAATATGCGAATGTTCCCAGATGAGTCTATATCAATCCAAGATGGAAAATCGTTATCAGCCCTGGTAAAAGTGAAATAGCTCTGGCTCTCATTCGAGAAATAGCTGAAATTGAATTCATCATAATCATTTGGAAAGTAGCTAAAGTTATAACCATTCCACATCCCACTGCGCCAGTAAAGAACTCCCCTTTGCCAGACCACAAGCTGCTTTGTGTTGTTTGGATCAACGCCTAAAGTAAATGCCCCCAGAGTTGGAACTTGTGGACTGACTTGTGAAGTGAGAAAACGGTGTTGTGGCTGGCCTCTACTCGATTTAAACGACCCCAATTTCATGCCTGGTAGCCACGTATCAGATGGGTAATCAAAACTTTGCCACACGATGTGTTTTCCTGCTGTCAAAACTAAATTACCCGTATCAAGTAGAGTTGCACTTGTGTCATTGCTCGGAACAGCTTGTGCTTCAGCATTTATGGTGATGAAGGTGCCATTATAGTCTGTAAGCATCAGGTTCCCATCATGACTGATGTTTAAAGTTCCTCTTAACGGTTTGCCACGGTTGGCAACCCAAACCATCTTATCCTGACCCCCAACGTTGGTCCCGTCACTGAAATTCATAAATTGAATTCCCAAGTAACGCAAGTTATTGGATGACTCTGGGCTAAAGAACAGCAACTGAAAGAACTTGTTTGAAGACTCCAAGAAATCCCAGTCTTTCATAACCTGGCCAACTGTAAGCGTATCTCCAAGAAGCGAAGCGTGAACGGAAAAGATCAAAGAGACGACCAAGCAAGTAAGAATAATGAACAAACAGCAGTCTGGCCTCCTCATGCTAGCCATCCCTGAAATTGTGACTATGGCAATGACATTTAGGACTCCAAAGTGTTAACTCAAATGCTTTCTAATATAATAATACTGCTGTTGTTGGATTTCTTTCTTGTATTCTCTACCTTCCAACGAAGACTTCGAAAATAATTTTATGGTCGTCTTCCCTAGTTGTCAGTCATCTTAGAACCACAATTTGCCAGCTCAGTCACAATCATTGCCAATTAATTCAAGGTCCACAAATATGAAGTCTGGAGTGTACGCAATTTTTGACTCAAAATGTATAAAAACACAAAAACCCAATGGAAGGCGCTCTTCTGGCTCATCCTGCTTGTGCTAGCTATCTTGGCAATTTTTCAAATGCCCAACCACTTTGTTTCCCCTATTTATTTATTTATTTGTTTGTTTGTTTATTTTATTTTTAGACAAATAAAGATTCTATTAACTCAAGAATAAAAATTACATCGAAATAAAAGAAACTTCATCTTTACATGAGACATTCTAAGTTGGCATAACCGAGCGACAATTCATGAGTTCCAATTTTGCAACTTCCATGTGACCATTATTTCTTTTTATCAAAAAGGTATTCTTAACATACCGATCAATCCATCCAAAAAAATAATAATAATACTGATCGAAAAAAATAATTTAGTATTCTATATATAATTATAAATCCATGTGTCATAAAATACATATAGTATCCGCGGAAGATGCCATATGGGGATGGTGGACAGTGATCAAACAGTCAAAGGGGCACAATTGCTAGTATTTCTAGGATCCTGGTTTACATGAATTTGTTGAGAACAGATGTACCAAAGGAGAAAAAAAGAAAATTTAACAAAAAGGATAAATCACAAATCTCCTAAAACTATCACATATTTGTACTTTACTCTCCTGAACTTCAAGACGTACGTAAACCATCTCAAACTATTATGTTGTTGCATGTAACACTTTCTAGTAGGATTTTGTTCCGACATGTTTTCAAAATTTCATACTCAAATTGCAATCAAACGCATAATTAAAAAATTAAGTATTTAAAAATATATTTATAAAGTAAAATAAAATTTTTAAAATAAAAAAATAAAAATTACATATTTAAAATAAAAAAATAAATTTTTTAATATGTAAAAAATATATTTAAAATATTTAAAAAAATATAACACATAGATGTATGAAATATAATGCACATTAAAATAAATAAATAAATACTTAAAATATAAAATATTTACCCTAAAAAAATAAATCCAAAATATTTCAAAATATAACTCAAAACTCTTTTTAAAATTCATAACCAAATAATTTTTTTCTTTTCAAGCTCAAAACACCACTCAATACTCAAATGATAATTCTAAAAATAATTTTAAAAAACAAAATAAAATTTTTTTTAAAAGTTTTTATTTATTTATAAAATAGAGTTTTGAAAATAGTTTAATTTAAAATTTTGAAAAGAGTTTTGAATTATATGTTTGATTATAAGTTTTGAAAAGTAATGGTTATGTTTTGAATTGAGTTTTGAGAAATTGGTGTAGAATTATTATTTGAAAACTCAAAACAAACACCACACTCAAATCAATGGGTGAAACTATAAATTGAGAGGCTTACCAAACGGAGCCTTAATTTCTTGTGGTTTGTAAGTTAAAGTACATCATTTGACATTGCATCCAAATTAGCAATAAGTATGAAACTGTGGGGAAGTATTTTGTGTTTGACAGCACGTGACTAAGGTAATGTCGAAGTGTCAGCCGATGTGCCACATGGTTTGGTCACGCTATCGAGATGATCTCGGCTAGATGTTGGAATCCGAGATAAGCGGATAAGGGGCAAGAGTCCTATAACAGGGAAGGATCTTAGTTTGGATAAAGATAAAACTCTTAGTTGGTGGCCACAAATTCTGTGGCTCAAATGGCCCGAAAATGCCAAAACGATGTCGTTTTGGCATTTTCGGGCCATTTGAGCCACAGAATTTGTGGCCACCAATCATTGCCGCAAATGTAAAGTCCTTTGCAATTTTGACTCAAGTATTATCTTGATTTTGGAATTGATTGTTATTTTGAAAATAAAAAGAATTGTTGGTGAAAATACCAAAAATATATATATATATATATATATTTTATTGATAAATAATGCAAAAAAAAAGATATACAAATAGATCAGACTCAGGCACAGATATCTCGTTTTCTTTAAGGAAATCAAGTCCATTACGGTAGGAAGAACCCAAATACCGATGCAGCAGTCACAAAACTATGACTTGCCCCCTCCAGGATACAACAACCCAACCACTTATCGTATGGTTCTAGCCAACTTTGCACAAGATGGTGAACCCAAAGCTCCACCAAGAAAAACAACATTCTTTGCTAGTAATCTCTCTTGTATAGAAAATAGTTGATGCGTTGGTGTAAAAAAGAATAGATGAAATGAACTATTTATAAACCACTGGGACATTACAAAATACATTAAAAAATAATAATGACCATGAACTTAGAGAAAAGAGAGAGTGTATCCAAATATTAACTCACCACCAAGTTCATGAATTCCAATTAATCTTCATTCATAAACAAGACAAAAGGTCACTAAAGTAATGAATCTCCATTCATGAACCATGAACAAGATGAGATTCATGAACAAAACAAAAGCAGATTTATAAACAAAAATATATAAATAAATAAATAAAAGATATTAAAATAGTTCAACAAGAATAAAAAAAAATTGGGTGGATGTTGTAAGAGGTGGTGAGTTTGGTGATGACGGGTTTATAATTGATTTGTAACTGTGAATTTTTGCTGAGAGAAAGTTTAGAAACCATTTGTTTTGCTTTGAATGAAAGGAAAAGAAACTGAGATCTTTGTACTCGATTTTTTATTGTTTATATTTCTTTAATTTTGGTTTTTCTTTTGGCTTATCAATTCCAGTTTCTTAGCAATGAATCTTGACTTTTGATTTGGATTTTGATTCGTGAGTTTTGAAATTGGATTTGATATGTTTTTTAATTATCGTTGTTATTATTATTATTATTATTATCATTATTATTTTCTTTTTGTGGAGTTTTCATATTGATCTTAATTTGCTTTTGTTGATGAATTTTGATTGTGATTTTGTCTTTGTTTTTGATGGTTGTGGTTGTATTGTTTGGCACGGGTTGTCGGGGCAGTGGTCATTGTCGGATGTGTGTGGTAGAAGGTGGCTATTTGCTGCAGAGGAGGAAGGAGCTGGGAGAAGAGGGAAGCAGGGTAGGTGCTGTCACAGCACAGCAGCACCGTTTTGATTATTATATTAAAAATAAATAATAAATAAATAAAAAACTAGTTAAAACACGCCACGGTGTTGCTTAGGGGGGAGAGTGTAGAGCAACACTTTTAAGTTGACTTCAGGAAAATAAGGGAGAACCTATAACAAAAACACAAAAATAAAAAATAATAATTGAAACATTTACCGTTTTCTGTTGAGTTCAATTGTAGTGAATGGATTTAGGTGAAAAAAGTAGAAGTAAAATTCACATTTGCTATAAGAAATTATAGGTTTAATTAGTTGGAAAAAATAAGTAAAATTTTTTTATAGAAATTGAATTTTATAATATTTTCATTTGCCTCAACATCATTTTTTGGTAAAAATAAATTTTAAGATAAATTGTACCGATAGTTCTTATATTTTGTTTTTTGTATCAAATTAGTTTATGTAATTTTAATTGTATTTTTGACTTTGTCCCAATTTGATTCAATTCATTATAATTGTTAATTTTTTTTTTTTTATAAAAAATACGCATATGAGCGAACATGTATAACGTAAGGCCAAATTTATAAAAACTTTATCAATTTACTGAGTTAACATCAACTAACTTAGTAACTATTTTTCATCCAAAATCCTAACGTCATAATCAATTAAACCAAATTGACATAAAATTTTAAGGGTCAAAGTTATGTCAATTGAAAGTATAAGAACCAATACGATACATGGGACAAAATTTAAGGACTACCGATGTAATTTACTCTAAATTTTAAAAGAAAACCAGTGTTGAAATATAAGCCACTTAAAATAAATGGTACTTCAATTATACAACCTGCAACCAATGTTTTCAAACACGAACCGGACCAGCCGGTCGGACCGGGAACCAAGCCTTGTTCCGGTCAACCCCCTAAACCCGAAGTGGGGCCAAAACCGGGGAAAATCGGTGACCCAGTGGCCGAACCGGCAGAACCAGAACGGGTCGGGAGGGTCAGACCGGTCTCTTTTTTTTTTTCTTTCTTTCTTATATATTTATATATATATATTATATCAAAATTTTGACTAAAAATTCTTACTTCAAGAGTCTCCTCTCATGAGGAGGAGTCTCATTGGAAGCTTGAAGAAATAATGAAAGTCTATTCCTATTTATAGGAAAACAATTGTTCAAAGAGAACCTAAAAATTGAATGTGGGATTCAATCAAATTGTTTGAATCATATTTGATTGGAGGGAAAGTTGAAAATTTTATTTCCCTCCAAAATTAAATCTAGCATTCAATCAATTTGTTTGGAGGGAATGTTAAATTTTTTTAATTTCTTTAAAACTAGTGACTTTTTTTTATCAATTATGACTTTATTAAATATTATTAATAAATACTATGCAACAATTTTTATTTTTATTTGATTATTTATATATGTTTTTATTTATTTATAATTTATAGTTATATTTTTTAATTATATAATATTAATTATGACGTCACGGTTCGACCGCTTTGACCTGACGGTTGAACCGGTGACCCATCCACCCGGTCCTTTTTCCGGTTCGCTCACCGGTTCGATTTTGAAAACATTGCCTGTAACAACCATATAATATAAAAAGTACATGTAGCTATCATATATATAAGTGTAACAACTAAATTAAATCAAAATAAAAAAAAATAAAGTTGAATTCAAACTGTGAACCAACCAACAAATTCAATGTTCAGTATCATTTTAAATCTAATTCCTTCCCATACCAAATCGTTCAAAATTCAAATTCCAAAATCATTAAAATAAGTAAAAAAATAATATGATGACGCCCAATATTTCTAAAAAGTAAAAAATTACAATAATAATAGGGCAATAACTACATATTAATCAAATGACATCCCTTTCAATTTTTTAAGGATGGTTGTGCATTGCTAAATAAATTAAAAAATTTATCCTTGACCAAACCTCCATGGGAGTTTGCACTATTGGATTAACTGAATTTTCTTTAAAAAAATATATATAAGAAAATGTATTAGAATAAAATTTATTGACTGTTTTTTTAAAAAAAAATTAAATATATTAAATATTTGAGAAATTTAAAAAATTTATCCTTGACGACATCCCTTTCAATTTTTTAAGGATGGTTGTGCATTGCTAAATAAATTAAAAAATTTATCCTTGACGAAACCTCCATGGGAGTTTGCACTATTGGATTAACTGAATTTTCTTTAAAAAAATATATATAAGAAAATGTATTAGAATAAAATTTATTGACTGTTTTTTTAAAAAAAAATTAAATATATTAAATATTTG